CAGTAGCAGATGTCATTCTTCTGCCTGGTTAGGGTTTGGCATTCACGGTGGATGTTCTTCAGGATGCGGTTCACCTGCCACTGCAATCAGCGTAGTGTACTGAGTCAGTCTTGAAGTGGAGAGAAGTAAAAGCGCTAAGGTAGAAGGGCTGAGAGGTTACCATCATGGCTCGGAGGTAGTGCCGCTTAGTGGAATTGCAGCAGCGGGACCTTAGTTACGCGCGTAAGCAAGACCGAGATTTAAGAAGTCCTCAAGCAATTTTTGTAGGTACTACTGCCTGGCATAAACCCAGGATGACAGCCTGATGGATTTCTTGCCGTTTCAAGCAACTTTGGTTAACCTTCTCGACACACGAAATCTCGCTTTGCCTCCCCATCCCGCTGTTGCTGCCTAAAGCGCGGTTTTCTACTCTCAAATACAATGAACCTGGAGACTCTGCAGATCATTATCCTCGCCACAAACATAAATGACTATTTTTAACTCACAATTATCATCTGGTCTAGTCTGTAAACATCTTTTCTCCGAATGCAGCTTCTAACCTGCGCTCTTGACCACGTTGGTGTAAGTGTTCAACCACCTGTCACAATTTCACCAGCCAACCCTACAATTAGTCAATCGCCCTAAGGACTATCCTTTTTTGAAGAAAGACCCCACTATTTACCCATTTTATACTACCCAAATCAGAAAAGGCTGCAGTACCTTCTATTTTTTGATCTAAGAGGCACCATCATGACATTTAAGTTTCGAAACCTTTTTCTCCCAACATGCTTGATCATCCTCATTTAATGTTGTACACCAGAGGCATCCAGTTTCAGCGCATAGCAATTGCTACAGGTCTTACTTCTAGGCTAATCTCCCTGCTTAAAATTCGACATCCTTCAATTCCATTGGACGGTGCGTAATCATGACTTGATGTCCTCAAGCAATTCATATAGCCATTTTTTCAAAGCGCTAGATGTAATGGCTCAACTGTTGGTGCTGTAACAACCTTATTACTTGTTTAACTCCCGGTTTTGTTATCGGGCCACTTAGGGGGCTCCGCCATTTTACACTCACCGGAGGGCTTGGCCTCTGGACGATACTAGTGACCGCAAGTCCAGTTGTTCGTCGACAACACATGATCTGCTCGAGTATTTTGTCTTGTTTCTTCTTCAGAGCGGTTTCGGAGAGCTTTCCTCTTCACTCTGTTACCTCGACCAAATTTAACCTTTATGACAGTAAAGCCTTCTCTTGACTGCCTAAAATGCCTGCTTGTTGGGCCTATAAAAAAGGCCGTAGAACGTTTATTTACCACAGTAAAACAACAATCAATCTGTGCTGACATACAGTCAAAGGCGATTTACAAGGAATCATTAGTTCTTTATTTACGACAAGAAGATAAAAAAGGGGGAGAGGATAGCAATCTTCCTGCCGTTGGCGTCGCATTCTTTGTGATTTGTAACACCTAGAGGCAGCAATTTGTGGTGCTAGCAAGTCGGCAAAAACTTCAGATACTGCACGATAGAGAGGAGATATTCCTCCCTTTTAAAAGAAATTGGATTTTGATTGTTAAACAGGAACTACATCACAAGAGGTACCAAATCCAATCAGATGACGACATTGATATCGCTGGTCCGCTAGGGTGTTCTCCCAGAAGAAAACCCCAAATCCCACTTTTAACGTCTGTATGTAACTCAAAATTATGCTGAAAAAGAATACTTTCAAACCACGCCTGTTAAGATTGCGTAAACAATCGGTGTTATTGTCAATCCGGACTTGGAGATATGCAAGCACTGGCGGAAAAAGCTTTTGTGATCAACGCAAGACACGTTGTTTTTGAAGTAGGTTAAAATAGCTCAACTAGGAAACCATCTGCTTC